CTTGTGGGACAATCCCCAACCGACTCCTCTACCGACATCTACCGACAGGGAGGTCACGTAGGTACGAACTTACCATCATTCCCGATCTGACCGAGGACTCGCGTGAACGAGCATTCGGTTAAATAAGGCATCGAATCCTAATTTAGGATAAACCGGAATTACCCTTAGCCAGGTTATATTAGGAAGGCCGAGGGCTCGGACGGTTCTAAGAGTGACTCCGTCACTAAGACGCGGAGGGTATAATTGACCAATCATGGTCCGAAGTGAGCTTCCTCTGAAAGCTCTTGTGCCAGTTGGCCTTGAAAGCTCGGTGGTCTGCGTAGCTGCGATTCGCTTCACCACAGCAACAACGCGTCCGCGACGACATTCAACTTTCCGGGTTTGTACTCGATCCGGAAGTTGTATTTCGCGAAGAAAGACAACCATCTCGCCATTCGCTGAGAGATGTGGGGTGACTTCACAGCCGTCCGCAACGACGTGTGGTCCGTAAATACCCCGAACGGCGTGTTGCCAAGGCAGTACACTCGGAACTTTGCGAATGCGTACTTCATGGCAAGGGGTCCTTGTCATACACTGGATAGTTTCGCTCAGCTGGATTTAGCTGCCACGACTGGTAGTAGACGACTCGATCCTATCCCTCGTGATCGAGTCGTATTAACGCACATACGATCGCAAAATCAGACGCGTCACACACTACGTGAAAAGGAGGATCTAGACATCCACGGCCAAGATCGGCGCATCAGTCAAGCCCAGGTTTAATGCATCATACGCCTGCTGACACCCAGCAGTCCATCCCACGCAGCTTCTTTCTTCAGAAGCTGAAACGGCGGGCGAATCTTGCCTGCGTAATTGTCCACGTACTTGCGCAAGTACGTGGCAACGCCAAGCCTCTGCCGCTGTTCCTTCACGTTGGATGGCATAAGTCATTCATTGACCACTCTGACATTCTCGGGGTCAAGGTGTACACCATTCTTCCCAACGAGACTCCTCAGCTCGGGTATTCGCTCGCACCGAAGATGCACTTCTTCAAGTTCGCACAGAGTTTGTGCTTGCGCTCATGCGCAAACGGTTCCCGGAGATGATCCTTGTGCATCTCGATGTCCGTTTTCTCGTTCACATCCCGGTTGTGGAGTACACGTCGTCGAAGTAGCTAGGAGCGGAGTCGCGCGGTGAACGCAAAAAAAAGCGTCACCCATTTACAGGGCGTTCTTCAGTCCTTGTGGCATAACTATCCACTCCTAAAGCATACCGCTTGGAGTGCTTACCGCCGTGAGAGGGACTTCGCTCTCACACACAAGGATATGATCGAACCCGTCTGTCAGATCAAGAGCACTGTAGATGGTGCTCTTGGACATCGACCGAGGATAACATCTTTTTGAGGTATCGGCGTCTGTGTCGTTATTGTCACATCGCTCAGCTTGTTTCACGCGTGAACGATGCGCCAACCACCCGGTGACGTCTGGACACAGAACGTCGGTGCTCTGTGCGTGGACTTTGATTCCTGCACTTTTCCTGCCTTGTGACCTATTCCCTTGTCCTCCGGTAGCCCCGCAGAGATCTCATCCAGGAGCGCATCTCTGTGCTCTCGCAGAATCTCGTAATAGGGACTCGACTTCGGTGAGTCCAAACTCTGCACTTCGAAACGTTCCTTTTTCGTCTTGGTACTGAGAGCACCTTCACTCTCACTGGCACTACCAATGAAGAGTTGTCTCAACGCCTTTGCTTCGTTTGTCATTCTGTCACGGTCCGAAAGAATGCATAGCTGTTCGATGCGTTCATCGTACAGGTCCTTTGCGAATCGCTTCCAGTTCATGGTTGGAAGCGAGGTCAACTCCGACGTATTGGTCGGAGGGTTCTCCAACACCATCTTCTTGTACTGATACCCAGCACAGGCTCGTGGCAAGACGTTCAACGTCTCGATGGCCACTGTCAGCAGACATACTTTGAAGGGTCTCGGCCCCGCACCGAGACTTGCACAGCGTGTTGTTTTTGCGCCGTTGCTTCTTCTGGTGAATCCCGGATTCATTTGCTTTACGTCCAGACCCGGCCATGGACGAATGGTCCTTGATACCACCGTGCAGCCACTCCAGTCTGCGGGCGATCGCCAGTGGGTTCTTGTACCCGCGGGCACGTGTCATCAAACCCAGCTTGATCGCGCCCTTCTTCGTGCAGCCCGGCTGCATGACAGCACGCAAGCTTCAGTGCTGAACGTTTGCAACCATCCATACAGCTTGTCGGATCGACTCCCGGAGTCGATTCATCGTCGTCACCTCTACTCCGTACAGCGGAGCAGTGTATCGCAACTCCGGCGTTGACAGACCGTTGTCTTCTCGACGCCTCACGGCGGAATATTCTCTCGATTTCGATATCGAGTGCGTGTCAACTCCCGGAAGTTGTCACCTCGACGCCTCACGGCGAAGTATTCCTTGGCAGTATCTGGTCCCTGACCAGGAATCTCCTTTTCTGTCAACGACTCCCGGAATCGTTACATCCTGCGTACCCCACACTCTACGACCAAAGACAGTGGCACGAGCCACTGTCTCTATAAGAGGTTCGGATGCGCTGTTTGGTGTATCCGCTGCATTAACCGGGCCAACGGTCTCAAATGTGCTGCAGCGTCGGAAGCGTAAGAAAGTACGCTTATCCCAATCGATAATAATCATACGTGTAAGCCACGGTATGACCAACACCATGTCGACCTTGTTGTCGAAGGCCAGGACGAGAAGTGATTCCACAAACATCCGGTGTTTGTACGAGAAGCGTGCGCGATTTATGCCCTTTTCGGTCTTCACGATCGCACCCGTTGCCAATCGTACTTCCAACTCACTTAAAACGAGGTACATGTTTTCCCTCGAAGTCCAACAACGGCAGATATTGCTGTTGAACAAAGTTGATCGACGCGCCCGAGTCACCAACACGCAAAGAGAGTCCATTCTCTTCGTCGTTGACGTCACCTTCAATATTACAAGGTTTGACATATCATCTTGCATCGTGTAGTGCGATTTCCTCTCACTGAGGGCTGCAGTCTTCAATATCGCGTGTCCGTTATAGATACGCGTGACTGCATTACCAGTAGGGCGCCCCGCACCTACTTGTCCCTTACGTTTTTTATTTTTTGTTTGACCGTGACGATACCCAGTATCGCCACGGCGACCTTGGCTTGAGTCTCAGGTGCCATACACTCAGGTGCGTAGTGACACATAGTTCCGCACCGGAAGCGTCGCGCGTTTCTTCCCTTGTTTTTCTGCTGTCCGACAGCAGATGCATACGAAAGATCCATCGGTTCAGGACAACAGCGGTGTCTCCCCGGGAGACACTGGCTTCACAGCAGCAACCTCGCGTTGCTCTTTCATGATGAACCCCAAATCAACATCATGTTGCTCTGTCGGCGATAGCGTGCGCAGCATGGCCGGTATGGCCGCCTCTCCAATGGCTGTCCCCAGTCGTTGGAGCGCCTTCCACGCTGGATCCGCCAGGTGGGGGCGGTATGTACGCGCCACATGATTAGCAGACGTGCTCGGGCTTCCTACAGACGTCCCGTTCATCGGAAGGTTCCCTTGCCCGTGTTCGTAGCTCATACGAACAAAGTGGTCGGTCGTTGGACAGACAACAAAATGCTATCAGATGTAGTGGGTCCAGGGCTCACTAGTTTGCTTACACGTGTGTGCACGTGTAGGAGGAAACGTAGGTGTTCTTAGCTTTCTTAGCTTACACACGATGCGTGTGTACGAGTAGACAAGGTAAGAGCGCGATAGCGTAAAATGATAACTATATTGTGCTTTAATGAGGTTTCTCTCTAAACTGTTTATCGAATATTTAAGCGACTGTCACCCGGTGGCTGACAGTGATTCGCATCGCGGATTGGTAGAGTCTACCAATAGGATCCCTTCAAATGGAGTGTTGGTGTGTGGACACACCTAAATGGGAAACCTGTAACTCTAACCGATTAGCGTTACTGTTAGAGTTTCGCGTCCCCCCATTACATCATCGATCTGCCAAAGGTCAAGAGGAAGCGCAATGAGGACGTGCGCCAGTGGCTCTCTCAAGTTGAGGCACTGCCGAATCCACGGCCATGACACAAGCAACGACAACACCACGTTTCCCGCAATCGCCGATACAGAAGAACCTGCTTCCGGATGGTTCCTGTATTTATGCTGCCTGAACGCCAGCGGAGGACCAATCGTGGGGTCGCTACACATACGATACTCTCACGCACGTTGAAACATTCACCTATCAAGCGGTTCTGAGACAGAAGCTCCGTCAACTCCGTCATGATGGTGATATGGTGAAGTCGGCGAAACTTTCGTTCCTTGGCGTACAGTGCTCGTTTTGGTTCCGATAATATAGAAGACTCGGATGCAAAGAGGATGAGAACTCCGAGAAGCTTTGGGAACTCTGAATTTAGCGTGTGGTTGTTGTGTATAATCCCTGTGCGCTGAACCCAATATTGGGGAACTCTTGGTCTCGACCGTCCGTAGATAGTTTGTAGGAAGTCTGTGTGCTTAGCGAGTGACCCACCTTCTGAGTTCACTAATATGTCTGAAGCCAAAACCCCAGAACACACTTCTCTTAATAAGGCAACCAAATACAATACAGAGAGCTTTGAATATACAAATATGCAGCCACTACTTATTCTTATAGAACCTTGAGTGGGGAGTCTGTCACTAGCCCTACTCGGAACTACGCCTCAGACACTGGTCAGTCTGATACGCTTCCTCAATCACGCGCACTACCCTCAGAAATGAAGGAAATACAACCTTAATACAGGCGAACGCTGAATTCGCTGTCTAATACAAACTCTAGGGGGACTACGAACCCTTAGAGAGCAATCGTTAAAATGAAATGGGTAGCTACATTTACCGTTCACTTACAACAGGCCCAATTGAGATATGAAATGCCGTGGATCTTTTTAGATGACCGTCGTGTCTAATACATATCGCAACTTGGACTTAGTACAGCTGGAGATCCTCACGCGGCACTCTTAATACCTGTCCTGCGCGCCTTACGAAATCACTTGTGCTTCACAACATTATTTTATCTTAATACTGCTTATTCTCCGCTTGGTATCCTATGTTCCATATTTCACTTGATCATTTTGGATCCGGGTTAATTATCTTGTTTTCAGTATACCCAAGTACACTCATCATGGTTAAACTTCAAAATCACTTGATTCCATTATATGTCCACGTGACGTCATCAAAGATGCTGCGCATCACCTCACTTCGCACTTGATCGTATTACATCTTGGGACGGGTCTCTGGCTCTGGGAGGAACTCAAATCTCTGAGTTCCGTCACTTGATAGCTTGCTATGACATAGTCCATCGGAATACACTTGAATCTCTGGATTCTGTCACCAAGAAGACGTCAAAAACCAAGAAGAAAGTCGAAGTCAAAGAGAGAAAGAGAACAACGAAGAGGTAAGAAGCCAAGTACAAACTGCCATACGGAAATGAGCGAAATAGCAACAATAACGTCGACAACGAAGGACATGCAAATCGCTGCCAATACGACCAAAACATGAAGGGAGAATAGGCTGAGTGGGGATATATTGTGCAATACGAGGATGTTAGCGAAGGGCGACGAAAAACGACAATGGCTCTGAGACAATTCGTAGCGTATCTGCTTTATGACCGGACCGGGGATCATTCGCTTTTGCTACTTGGAGGTAGACTTACACAACAGTACTGTGTCGACCAGCGGTCAAATGCGGAACAGGAGCGACTCCGGTATATTGAGAATAATCAACTCGAATTTAGGTTCGAGGCGATTCAAGGACTAACAGATGCGTACCGTCACGAAGGTACAGAAGCGCACCGAGTTGATGTGATGTATTATCTGGTCTGGAACAGCCTGCGCAAGACTCTGTCACTGTCCGGGACCGTCAACAAAACGCATCTAACGGGACAATCGAACCGGACGCTAACGATGTTGGACGGTTTTTGATTTCTTCACCTTCTTTTACCAGTTGTACCAACGGGTTCATGGATACTATGGCGATTGTTAGCGAATTAGGTGCTTTTAAACTTTCATCGGGTATAAGAGTAATCCCAAGAGGGTGGATATCAAAGAAAACTTGCGTCCAGGTCAAACAGCGGCCGATCGTCCAGATATCGTGGCGAGGGTTTTCATACAAAAGTTGTAAACACTAAGCAAGGATCTTGACGATGGTGTCCCTGGAATTCAAGCAGCGCGGATTCACGTGGTAGAATTTCAAAAACGTGGTTTGACATACGCTGATATTTTGCTTATCTCAAGGCCAGAAGACAGACCTTTAATCGTAAAGATGTAAACCGTTTTGTTTCGACCGAACTTCCCGATAAGGAAAACACCCCCAACTTTATGATACAGTGGTTACGTGTAAGTTACGCGGTCCGTGCGAGAATGCAAACCCAAATTTTCCGTGCATGAAGAACGGTAAATGTTCGAAGAAGCTCCCGAAACCTTTATCCGAGGACACGACGATGGCTGAATGAAAGTATCCCAATTATAAACACTATATGCGTCCGCTCGGTGACCTGGCGATTGGACGAAAGGTCTGGAATAACGCAACGGTGAATCAGTGAGCCGTGCCGTACAATTCATTTCTGTCGCACACGTACAACTGTCATATCAATGTGGAGGTCTGCGCGACAACAAAAGCGGTCGAATATGTCTACAAATACGTTTACAAAGGGGCCGACATGATAGTGGTTTTAAATTAAAGGCGAAACATATGGGCAATCACTCAATGAGATTTTACAGTATTTTTACCACGTAATATATATCCCGTGGAAGCCGGCATGCGGCTATTCAAGCACCCAACACAAGGGTCCACGCACAAGGTGGTAAGTTGGCAGTTCATTTGCCAGGACACAGCTCAGCTACATACCCAGCGAATACAAGCAAAGCACAAATTCGGAGATTAATTCGACGCGGTGATCAGAAAACACTAACCTCTTTTTTTCATGCTTTGCTTTGCCGAGCCGGAAGTCGCCGACAGTGTACCGTTGGAACAAGAAAAGCAAATGGTGAATTCAGTACAAGAAGTATGGTTTTTCAATAGGCCGCATTGTAAATGCATCTCCCAAGATCCTGAACGGTTTTATTTGCGAATTTTGCTGTGTTATCGGCGTGAAACAATGTCTTTCGAAGATGTCAGGACTACAGATATTGTAATGTACCCTAGATTCTTCGTGTTAACGA